TTGAGCAGCAGACTGACCAGATCGGCCTCAACAACTACCCTCATCGTACCACTGAGAAAAAGTTCCTTCAGCCAGTCAGCCTTCTCAGTGCGAGCTGCCCAGTTCTGGAACTCATTACCACCACACATTCGCAATATTGAAACACACAAAGCCTTCAAACACACTCTAAAAATATGGTTAAAAGATAATCAGGCCTGCGATCACAATCAGTAGTCCATACTAATCCTATAATTCTGTCTACCTGCTTGCGTGCCTCTCTGCCTCCATATTGCCTGCTTGACTGCCTATCTGCTTGTCTGTTTCGCTTGCTGACATGTTGCTTAAATGTGCATTGCGTTTTGTTTTGTATTGTTCTGTATTGTTTGTTCCTGGTGTCCTGCCAATATGCTGCATTGCTACTATGTTTGTCTGTTTGCCTGATGTAACCTACCTGCCGGCCGAAGCTTATTTTCCTGTGTTTTAATATGCTTGATGTGCTTTCCATTGTGATTATGTGCCACTTCTTGTCTTTTATTGTGTGTCTTATGCTTTCTATTCTGATCCATGTGCTTTTATACGCGCTGTGCTGTATATTTTACTGTTATTACGCAATGTTGATTGTAATGTTTATTTCTTTTAGCTGGCATTTAACACCTCGCCTGGGGACTGCAGTTGGAAACTAGCTACTCAGCTAAAACTGGCACATTTACAGAAATGTTCATTAATGTGCACTGTCCCTGTACAAATAAACAAATAAATGAAATGAAAAAATGGTTAAGTTTAGAATAAACATTAGCTTGAAACAGAAAGATGCAGGATTTTTTGTACACAGACGTGGAAGTTAGCATCACCCTTGTTACCTCGTTGAAAATTCAATGGGATTTTCCCAAACAAATGCTTATGATACTAACACTGTTTGCTCTGTGAGATGATCTCCACAAATGAACACCACTTTTATGAGTTTTAAAGCGTAAATGCAATCGGCAGAAGTGAAAAGTTAACATTAGGTTACAAACAAACTACACTGCGGTCACATGACTTCAATATTGCCACCACAAAGAGGCTGTGTGTTGTACCTGATGCCCAAGTCCACTGACAAAGTGGCAGTATTTGACAAGTTTGGTTGCTGCCCACTGCTTTAGAAACAGCTGCTTGGTGCATATCATACAGCCACAAGCTGTGCCTCTGTGTGTTGGTGTCTGATGCTGAGATCCACTGACAAAACTGTGGTATTTGACAAGTTGGTGGCGAGAGCAAGCTGTGTTTTTTCCATTTGAAGGCCACCCTAGAGGGCAATTCATCGTGTTTTCTCCACTGGATGGGTGACCTTTAGGGCACTAGGGATATTCAAAGAGAGCACTTCTGCTGCTTGTTCTTTGAACGAGGGCATCATGGGGCTCTGAGATTGATTACAAAGTGTGGATCTCTTACTCACCACCTTAACAGAGCTATTCTTGGTAGAATCCCCCCTCTCCTTATCTTCTCTTTTAAACTTGAAACATGGAAATTACAGTCTGCAGGACTTCTTGTGTTTTGTGGTGCCCGAAGTCAGAAGTGAACTGGGAAAGGAAGCTTTTAGGTTCTTTGCACCTGCTGCAGGGAACAATCTGCAGAATGATCTTTAGCTGCAAGACACGTGACGCTGAATGAGTTTGGTGAGGTCTATTTCGCCTGGGCCGTCTGTGTGCAAATATCTGATCATTTTCATATCACTCAAATCTTTGTGCTTTGATGTCAACTGATGAAACTCTGTGTTGCTGCTGCTCTTGGTCAGGTATCTCCTGTAAAAGAGGTCTTCTGTCTCAGTGGGACAAACCTGGTTAGTTAATGACAAAATTAAAAAAATAAAATAAAGTTGCAACAGCAGTAGAAACACACGTAACAGCAGTTTCAGATCCAGCAGTAGTAGTAATAGTAGTGGTTGTTATACAGTCAGTAACAAAAGTAACAGTGGCAATAGCAGCCATACAGTAGCCGTAGTCGTAGCAACAGTAATATTATACACATCTTCAGTGTTTTTCGCACCTGAGCTGCAGCAGGCTGTGACCCTGTCTGCATCTGAACACAAGTGAAGGTCTCTTCAGAAACATCTGTATGCCTCCTGTCACTGAGAGACACAGAAATATAGTATTAATATATACTGGATGTTCTGCAATAACGAGAACTGAGAATACTGCAAACACCCAGAACCCAGAGGGACAGTAAAGGCAACACAACAGGACAGCAGAAGTGATCGATGAGCAGCAGTGCACAGAACGAAAACACAATCCATCACATACCTCATAATTTCTTTCATCTTTTCAAAATGGCAGTCAGTTTCTGCAAAATAACAGACTGTGGTTTATTAATGTGTCTTTGTTCTCATGGCTCCACTGCGTTGCTTCTCTTCATGGCAGTTAACCGAAAATGGTGGAGAATAATGTCTATGTACTCCTGTGCCACCTTTTTTTCCAGAGTGAACAGTCACGATAAGACACAGAATTTTGATGTTTCTCTCACTTTTCAGAACTTTGTGTGACTTTGACTGAATTTTGTTCACTAACGAATGTTGTTTGTCATCAACTTCATGTCCCTCTGCATGTTGGCTTCTTGGACAGACCTCTCATAATTATTTTTAACTGCTATCTTATTTCATTTAATTTGAAATACAAACAAACAAACTGTCAATTAAAGGGATATTGCACCCAAAAATGTAAATTCAGCCATTATCTACTCACCCATATAACGAGGGAGGCTCAGGTGAAGTTTTAGAGTCCTCACATCACTTGCAGAGATCCAAGGGGAGAGGAGGTAGCAACACAACTCCACCTAATGGAGGCTGACGGCGCCCCAGATTCAAACGTCCAAAAACACATAATTGAAACCACAAAATATCTCCATACTGCTCGTCCGTAGTGATCCAAGTGTCCTGAAGCCCCAACATAAAAAGTTGTTTGGAAAAACCTCATTTGAACTCTGTTTTTAGCCTCATTGTAGACTGTAGCTCTGACTGCCTCTCTGAGCACCGCGATCACGTGTGCGTGCTTGCGTGCGAGACCAGTGAAAGCACGTGAACACACATGAAGGCAGTGCCCATGTCTCACGGTCTTGCGCAAGTGCACACATGTGAGCGTCTTGCGAAATGAGGCTAAAAACAGAGTTCAAATGAGGTTTTTCCAAACAACTTTTTATGTCGGGGCTTCAGGACACTTGGATCACTACGGACGAGCAGTATGGAGATATTTTGTGGTTTCAATGATGTGTTTTTGGACGTTTGAATCTGGGGCGCCGTCAGCCTCCATTAGGTGGAGTTGTGTTGCTACCTCCTCTCCCCTTGGATCTCTGCAAGTGATGTGAGGACTCTAAAACTTCACCTGAGCCTCCCTCGGCATATGGGTGAGTAGATAATGGCTGAATTATCATTTTTGGGTGCACTATCCCTTTAAGGTGGTGGTCGACAAGCAGCTCCTGTGTTTAGCGAGACAAACTTGTTTTAGCAAATTTTAAAATATATTAAATCTAATATATTATTACTCTTCAACTTCCCAGTGATTTGATTTATTCTTCAGCAGCATACACGATGGATGTCAGAGGTAAGATCTGATGAAGTCGATGTCTGACTGAGTTGACAAAGAGTTACATATTTAGTCATTTCACAGGAGCTGTAGTGAGGAGCCATTTTATTTTTCAGAGATGCTAAGAGTTCTCTTAATGCTGATCAAAATGTTAGTTTTTATACCAAAATTCTCATTTAGTTTTGTTTTAGAAGGGTTACGGAGTTTACATGTCATAGTTGAGACACACCTGATAGCAATATTATTAAATGAATTTATCAGTATTTAAAAAGCTGACCAGTACTTGAGCAGCATTCCCACCTTTTTGGAAACAAGCAAGTGAGACAGGAGCCTTCAGGATATACCTGACTCTTTTTTTAAATTATGTTTTGGGAGAAGTCAGACTAAGTTGGCAAAAATCTTGGACACATCTTTAAAGGGCCAACATTTTCACAAAAATATATTTTAAAACAAAGTTGATTATACTGTAGAAGCAAATTTTTACACCAGTGTTATTATGATTATGATGTTAGAATGCACTGTTAGTTTAAGATTTTGAGGGCTCTTAACACATTTTTTTAATTGTTTAAACTTATGAATTCTTATCTGTTAAGGCTGTTCTCTGGCACAGGGCGAGTTTGGAAGTAAAAAAAAAAAGTAAAAGCTGAATCAAATCATAAAATCATATTTTTTTTGGTAGGACAGGATTTGTCCCAACTCTCAAGAATGGGTGCATGAGTTGTTTAGGAGTCGAAAAGGTTGAGGTAAAATTACCGTTTTTGTCACTGGAGTCTGACTTTGAACAGAGCAAATATAGGTTTGACTTTTCACTCAGCTCCTCATCAGCAAGGGCTGTCTTAATAAATGAGAGTTGGATTATAATGCACAAGTTGTGTGAGAGTTTGTAACCATGTTTTTTGATTTAGTTTTGCTGTTGTTAAACTTGTTTTTTTTACTCCGATTTATCAAGAGTCATCTCTGTTTTTGGGTTCTTCATCCCTCTTGTCCATTGTTTGTCTTCTCTAGTTGGTAAAAATGCAGGTTTAAATGTTGGTGATCCATTCATAAATATTTACCGGATATTTTCCAGAAGGTAAGTGGTAATAGAGGAGATAATGCACTAATAGTGGTGGCATATATAATCTCAGGGTGTGTGTCGATACACATTCCTCTGTTAACAAAAAAAAACAAAAAAAAAAAAAAAAGAATAAAATGCAAATTCAGGCACCGTCCAGCTGCAGGTTGGGGTTGTCTTCACCGGCACACCCTCCATCCTTGGCCTTCAGGAGCTGCTGGAGAACAGCCTCCACAATGGGCATCACCATGGTAACAGCCGAGGTGTTGTGGACCCACATGGAGAGGAATGCACAGCCGGACATGAAGCCCAGCATCAACCTGGAGATGACAGCATGGTGGTCAGAGCAGCAGCATCCACAAACACACCAAATAAAATAAACTGTATCTCCAGTTTTACTCTCTAACCCCACCTGCATCACTGCATCATGCATTAACACACACTGGAGAGCCAGCGAGAGAAGGGTGGCGCTCACCATGCAGGGTTGACTCCCACTGTGGTGACGAGCCTCAGGGCGATTCTGCGGTGGAGACCCCACTTCTCGATGGACGTGGCGAGGCAGATGACACCCACCAGCAAGAAGTGGAAGTCTTTAAAGTACTCCTTCGCCACCTGGAGGAGAAACACAGAGAGAAATACTTTACAGGAAATAAGGGCTGAAAAACAGAATACATTTTAGCCCAGTTTCTTTTGTTTATTTGTGAAATAATCAACATTAAAGAAGAAAATGCTGAATAAATAAATAAACAAATTATAAGCATGAGCACACTCTGGTAAACATTTAATATTTTCATAATTATTTCAAACCTAGCAAGAATGATTCATTATTTGATATCTTTATTATTACTTTAATTTTTTTTTTCTGATTTAACAGCGCTTGGACAAAACCTACTGTATCACTATGAATCTTTTTCTCTCATTATCAAAGTTATTTTAACGGAGCACAGAAATGAATTACATATTTGGCGCGATAACTTGAGAAAAAACAGGTGTGCTGACAAGTGGGGTATTTACAGTATAAAATATTTTGGCTTCCGCTGTAGTTTCCAGATGTTTGTGAGCAACATCCAGGCTGTAGGTTAATGTTTCATTTCTTCATTAGTTTAATAACAAAGCAACTCATTCATTGTTTTTAAGTTAAAGGATAGTTCGGCCTGCTAACAGACAGATAGACTCACATCTGAAGACTTCATGATGCCAAACATGGGGAAGAGGATGGCGGGGAGCATGGCGGTCATGGACAGAGGAATCGCCTCTGTCACCCAGTACGTCGCCATCAGCAGCAACACAAAGGCACATTCTGACTCCTACAGGGACAAAACACACACAAACACACACTGTTGCTTTATTTATAATTGCATTCAATTTTTCATTACAATGATCTCAGACACAGAGTTAAGTCACTGAGTGGTTGGAGGTGTTATGAGGGAGCTGATGATGATGTCTGTTACAACATCACTGGCACGGCCATATCAACTGCACCTCCTCTACCGCTCCTCTGTACCGAGGCATCCCCCAGGGTTCTGTGCTTGGTCCTCTCCTTTTCATCCTCTACATCCTCCCGCTTGGTAACATCATCCGCTGATATGGCCTCCATTTCCACTGCTATGCAAATGATGTCCAGATCTACATCGCCACCAAATCCATCACTACAGCAATCAGCTCCACACTTGAAAATGGCCTCACTGAAATAAAATCCTGGATGCAAACTAACTTTCTACAACTCAGCTGTGACAAATCAGACATGATCCTAATCGGCCCCAGTTCCCTTACTAAAACCATCCATGATTTCAGCCTTAATGTTACAAATTCTACACACTTCTCCACATCTATGCAACCTTGGAGTCACTTTCGACAGCAACCTTTCATTTGAACCGCACATTAGTCATATCACCAAAACCGCTTTTGTTTGCGTCCAGTAAGATTCTAAAGCCAAACCCTGTTCTTTTTTCCTAAACCTAACCATGTGCTTTTGTTGTTGAAGGAAAAAAAGTTGATTCCTGGTGTTGTACCGACCCAGTGCTTTTATTTTGAAACGTTAAATTTCCAGTGAAAACGGAAGTGTGTGTTGAAAGAAGACAATGCATGTAACAGGTAGAACCTTTGATTTCCCATAAATTTGCTAAATCTTGGAAAGCACCATTCAACCAGGTGACTCTTTTTCAATACACTGATCTGACAGAACAGAGGACTGAGGAGAGGAGCTATCTATCTATCTATCTATCTATCTATCTATCTATCTATGTGTGGACAAGTAAATCATTCCACAACCAAACGCACACCTCAAAGGAGCTGACAGAGCACATTTCAGTGGAGTAAGTCACTGTATAATTTAATGTGTCAAATAAATGATTGATTCCCGGATACCATCTAAGCACTGAACTGTCCTCGTATGCTCTACGTCTTGTGAATGTCGTTTGTATTTTAAATTGTGAGCCGCAGCCACCTTGTTGTTCAAGACAAATTTCCTCTCTGAGGACAATAAAGTTATTCTGATTCTGATTCTAATTCTGATTGATTACAATTAATTTCATCGTGAGTGGTTTTTGATGGATGCCATCACTGACACCAGGAGAGCAGTGCGGTAACGTGACACGCCCAGTATGAGAGTGTGTGCGTCACTACGCATGAAAGTTTGACTCCTTACGTAGAGGAGTGTTCTGGAGATGATAAAATGGAAAAGACACGGCCAGCAGGGCCAAGAAGGCAGATGACCTTTAGGTAATTTCTTTGTCACCTAAGGCTGTTTTGGTTCTGCTTTTATTGCCATGTTTGTGTTTTGTTTGGGCGACAGGAGATTACATGCAATGCATCCTAATGGAGGCTCTGCAATCAGAACTCTGTTAATGCTTAAAAAATCTCTGGAGTTCTGCAGAGTTGGAGAGAGCTCTCTGTGGGTTACTGATCTGAGCCACACCTTATTTAAAAACATTAATTAGTGCAGCTTTACTGTTACCAAATAAATGACTACTGCTAACTTACTACTACTGTAGCAGCAAAGTTCTTTCATGACTTCAGTTCAGTTTACTTTGATTCATAAACTTCAAAGCTTTAAATTTATTGCTCTTTGCTCTAGTCTGGTTGGCGGCGTGTAAAGAAGACTCACCTTTGTCCCGATGACAAGAGGAAGAGGAAGCAGCAGCAGTGGCGTCACGATAATCAGGGCGACGCTGCGGTAGTTCCACAATCCTCTTCTCAACCTCCTCAGCATTCTCCTGCAGGTTCCTGATCCTGCGGTCATTAAGCTCAAAGACTTTAATAATTGACCTGTTGTCGAGCCGACAGAGACACAGTGTCAGGTTGGTCTGATTCCCAGACTCCTGAGTGCCCCTGAGAGAGGTCGAGGTCACAGAGTTTTCTTGAGCAAGATACCAAACCTGCTCAGTAATCGCTGGTTATCGCTGTAGCAACACAACAGAGAGATGATAATGTGACACAGCCATTAATTTATGACACTTTAAAAGTGTTCCTTCAAAGTTAGAAAAATGAGTTGTTAACATTTTTATGTTGTTGATACCTAATAAAGGATGAGACAAATAAAAGTAGCCTAGATGTGGCAAACTGAGGATGGTCATAAAAAAAACCCACTGAAACTTGTGTACATTCTTCTAATGACAAAAGGACCAGAAGACACAAAGGCTGCTGTCAGCCCTAGAGTGGTCTCCTCTGGTCTGAATCAGGGACTCATGTTGTTCCAAAGTTGTATAATTGCCTAGAGTTGGTTCGTGTTCTCACGGCAGCATTTACAAGAGGACCAGATCAAATGCCTTGTGTGAGAAAGCTGCTCTTGATTGGTCAGAATTTCCATGTGGGAAAAATCCAGGAAGTAAAGCAAACGTTGAAGAAGAGTACACTTGCAAGATAAATGTGACACTTTCTAATGTCACAATGGAGGGACAACTACGCAGGTTGATTTTAGCGCTGCTCATCGTGGACTATATTGCTGTCATTGTTCATTTTAGTCAAACCATACAGTTTGTAAACGAGGCGCGGAACTAGAAAACAATGTTTTGATGCATTGGATGTGCTGAATGTGCATATTAAGGCAGTACAGGAGGAGGTGCACATTAATAATCCTCCAGGACTGTAACATGCTCATGTTTAACCCAAACAATGTGTCATGTGACTGCAGTTGCTTCACATCCAGGTCGCAACACCTTCTCACCACAAACCAACCGCACCAGAGTTCCTTTGAAACCGGACCGAGACCACCTCTTCAAGAAGGTCTCAGTCTGGTTGTTTTGGTGTGTTCACACCTGCCCAAACGAACCGCACTGAGGGGGCAAACCAACTTGAGTTTGACTGAACCGAACCAAACAGGGCAGCTGTGAGAGAAGCCTAAGACTAATATTTAGTGGGATACTGGTGTTTCATTTACCTTAATTTTGCTATTTCTTAATATCCTACTCATATAAACTTGTACTACTTAAATGCCGAATTTACAAGAAGACATAAAGGATTAAAGATAAGTCGTCAACAGTTTGTAACTGTGAGTGATAGTTGTCCAAAGCAAGAGAAAATATAAAACTGCCTGTTTTTTTAAGGGAGTTTGGTGAGAAACAACCAAATCAAGAGTTACTGTTTAACAGGAGAATGAAAACCAATGTCGTGTGATGGCCCGAGAGATTTATAAACACCATACACGATATTTCCCTAAAACAAGTACAAAGGTGGTTTGTCGGTGAAGATTCTCAGTCATCCAGGACATGGTAATCGTAAGTGCTATATCGTAGGCAACTGGACAACACAGGCAAGTCCAGTTGCCTACGATATAGCACTTACAAGTGCAAAGGTAAAACTGACTGAATGGAGTTTTGTGACTGTCCCTGTATGAGAGAGAGAGACGCAGTCAGGATATAAATGTCTTTAAATGGAAAAAAAAGACAGGAGAAACTAACTGATGCCAGAGACACCAAGAATGATTATTGTATAGAATATAGATTACGTTGTTTACAATTTGCAATGGCCAAACCAAAGACCAAAATTAGCACTGACAGTTTTTTAAAAGACGTTTTGTGACTTTCACCCACACAAGACAGAAATAAGGGGTTCCTTTAACTGGATTCAACTGCTCAAGCTCTAAAGATAAAAATTATTAAAAATATATGGCCTGTTTTTTCTTCAGTTTATAGAATAGTTTGAGCTTGAAAAAACACATTTATTTGCTTAAAGTCCTACATAAACGCTACATAATTAGGATTTTTACTGTAATTTGAATTAAAATTCAGTGTGTGTGGATAAGTAAGACCTGAGTGCATTACAAACTTACACCAGATATATTCAGACACCATTTGACTGTGAAAAAACAGTGAGTAAAGACAACATATTCATCAGAAAAAAATCCATTATATGAGATTAAATTTTTCAGAGTGGTGATAATTTATTGAACAATCTGTCAATCAGACTGAATCTATATTTACCCAGAACATGCAGGAGCAGGAGGACAATAATATCATGTCAATAGAGAGAAACGTGAGAATTATCTCGTGATAATCAAAGTGCTGCACCTTACCTCACTCACTGTCGGCTCTGACTCTCTGTGGGTGTGAAAACATCTGCACACATCAATGCTGTTAAACCGTCGTTTAACGGGCTTACAGGTCGTTAGGCGTCAGAGGAAGAGAGAGAATAAAACAGAGCTCAATGTGAACAGGTATACTTTAGCTCCTTATCTTAAAGTCCCGAGAGAGCCGTTAACCAGTTCTTACTCCATTGGTGACCTTTGACCCTTGGCTAATGGCTCTGATTATCAGCATGCAGGAGGTTGAATGAAACTTAGCAGAGGGGGCGGGAGATGGATTTGGGCCAAGCTGGGAATTTTTTAACAGTGGATTTAAGTGTGGATTTGTACAAATGTACAGAGACCTCAGAGAACAAATATAAACTTTTACAGTGTTTAATATTAATAAATTAACAATGACACAGTATAAAAATACAATTCATACAAATCCATTACAAGTAGAAGTTCTGCATTTTTAAATCCTACTTAAGTAGAAGTGCAGAAGTATTATCAGCACAATATGTTTTATGTATCAAAAGCTCTGATTGGTCAGAGTTACACTGAATGTTCAGGTTCAATCTTCAGACTCAAAGCTGATTCTTTAAACTGTTTTTTTTACCTGAGGTGTTTCTGAAGTGTGTGCACTGTCGCTCAGTCTCAGTTTCCAAAAGCAGCACGCTAAAGGGGAACTCCACAAATTTCACACAGCAGTTGAACTGTTATTTGCTATTTCAAGGATAAATTATAATCATTATTTTTATTAAGTGTCAGGCAGAACTTGTGGAACTGCATGTACAGTATCTGCAATTCAGAGAGAGGTCAATGGCAAACATATTCCGGTAGAGATCAACTGTAACGTGAGAAACAAATAACAAATGTTACTTAAGCCTGATGAGTTGAAAATCAACAACTTAAAGGTCCAGTGTGTCAGATTTAGGGGGGTATATTGACAGAAATAGAATATAACAATTATGTTTTCTTTGGTGTATAATCACCTGAAAATAAGAACCGTTGTCTTTCTGTTACCTTAGAATGAGCCGTATATATTTACATAGTGAGTGGGTCCTTGCCTGTGGAGATCACCATGTTCACCACCATGTTTCAACAGTAGCCCAGAACAGACAAACCCAACACTGGCTCCTGATAGGGCTATTTGCATTTATGCGTAAGAAAAACACCAATTTTTAACATGACACTGCTTTATTCAGTGTTTTACTGGTTTAAATCAGCTTGGTTTGTTTGTTTTAGAGGAAGAGACCTCCTCAGATAATTCAGCTCCCAAAAAACACCCCGTGAACATCTGGATCGCAAGTTAACAGAGAAAAAGGGTGAGCACACATTTGTAAGTGCTGGACTAGCAGCCTGCCTCCGACTAGCTGAACAGCCTCGGAGAAACACTGATTTAAAACATGACACTGCTTTATTTAGTGTTTTTACTGGTTTAAATCAGCTGGTCTGTTTGCTTCGGAGAGGAAGAGACCTCTGTGGATGATTCAGCTCCTGGTAAAAACCTCCTGATCAATGAACACTGAAGGAATTCTGACTAGGAGAAGTTTCAGCTGGTTGCAACCTGCAATCTTCATCACTAGATCCCACTAAATCTGAGCAAAAGTAACTACATCCTTCTTTCAAAATAAAAGTACTAGAACTGAAATAACTTGACATAAGTAGAAACCAGCAGTAAAACCACTCTTAACTTTATTTTAGATTTCAGATAAAGTGTTTTCTAAAGTGACAGACAATATGAGTGAAGGAGGAAACGATGACAGAAGAAAGAAAACCACAGGGTGTTTCTTAATGAGTTGAGGCCGGTGGGGTGTCAATGGTGTGCTTGCTTGTTGCCATAGTGATGGGCTTGGAGACAAGCTGGTTGCCCAGGGCAGCAGGCGGCTGAGGGTCCAGGTACTCGGCCATGACGGCGATCTGGCTGAAGTGGCGCCGAGCCAGCATGTGTTTGTGTTCAATCCTGCGGATGAATGTTGCCTCGTACGCCTGAACACACACACACACACACACACACACACACACACACACAGAGGAGGGAGTCTGTGTAACAGCTGGAGCCTGAACTGCATCTTTTACTGTTCGACCAGACAAGCAGAGAGAAGACCAAACACATTGTCCCTGTGCACAAAGCCAGGCCTGTAAAGAAATCATCACTTGACAGCTTGTGTTTCTCGTTGAACTTCTTTCAGTGATGTCACTGTGTCATCAAATCTCTTAACAAATAAATGACGGACAAAACTGCCAAAAACCCAAGTTTTAATAAACCAGAATTACTCATTAATGGGGAACTGGTCATTCCGAACTATGAGAACAAAAAAGTGGGTAAAAAACCCAGTTGATTCTGTTCTGCTGTTTAACAAATTTAAGGGTAAGTTTGGTTTTTATAAACCTGAACCCTATTTAAGATTTGTCTTTGTGTCTGAGTGACTCGTGGGAACAACAATTTTTGAACTTTTTGAACTACACTACACGCTGCAGTGTAACCACTCAGGACATGTTCACACCGTCAATTTTTTGCCGCTGACAGGCTGAGATCATTATCCTAAGTTTCTGACAGTTTATGGAAAGGATCCCGACAGAGATAGACCTTTTATTGTTAAAGAGCACGATCCTATTTGTTCAACCAGAAGTAGCCCTGAAAATCGCCGTCGCAAAACCCACCAGACTCCATTTAAATAATCAGATAATTATCACCGTAACACACACTTCATTTAAAGTCAACAGAAACAAGATAAAACTCACGACAATCATCTTGGTTTATCTTTCCACTGTTCCAACATTTACCAACTCTGGTTTGGTTGAAATAAATCTTTAATTCACGCAGTCCGATGTGAAAACATGCTGCCTCTATACATGCCTAAATTACTGTTCATTAGAATGGAGTCTGGTGATTTCTAACTGACCAGTCTAAAGTCAAAATTCAGGTAAAAGTTCCTGAGTTCCTCCAAAGGTTCCTGGGTTCTTGAAAATTTGGCGATTGTTCAAAAGTTACTCCGACACACAATGTGGGCAGAATGGAGATAACGAGGACAATTATAATACTTCCAGGTGGCGATTCATTGGCCTGCGATCAGAAGTTTCATGTGCTGTTAATGTTTACGTGGACAGACCTTGTGGACGTCTTCCACCTCCAGGTGAGCTGAAGTCTCTTCTTTGGACAGCAGGATGCAGTTCCAGGGGCTCCAGTCCCGCTGACGCTCCCAACGGACAAACACCAGGTTGTAGAGGTCGCTGCTGGCGTGGAGGGCCGAGCGAGACGCCCAGACCACCTCCACCAGGTACTGCACATCCTCCTCCTGACAGGACACACATGGAGACATCAGGGTCAGGTTACCTGCACTATAAAATCAGCAACCTGAGGCAGGAAACAGGAAGTATCCTCTGGAGGCCTGTAGAGGAGTGAGATGAATCAAATTAACACACATAAAGTGAAAGCAGGTCACCTGCAGCAGGAAGGGAATCTTGGCGTCCTCGTTGAGCTGCTGCTCGTCAGCTCTCAGCCTCTTCAGGATGCTTTTGTAGCAGGAGAAGTCATCACGAGATCTGGCTATGTTGTCCAGTCTGATGCAGTCCTGGCACCGACCGCTCAGACGGGTGCTGGCGGACGGCTTGAAGTTGGCAGAGTTTAGGTAGCGATGACAGCCCCAGCATAGGAACATGTTGTTCTTCAGCTGAGAGGGATTCTGGGGAACCTGGGATAGATTTTAGGATCATATGCAGATATTTACATTTATATCCAGCCGTGTCCAAAGTTCATGAACTTAGCAGGGCTCTTTGCTCACCTTCAGCAGCTTGGCCACCTCAGGGTTAAATGCTGGTGTTTTGATATACTGGAGGAACAGAGTGCAGATCCTCTTCCTCAGCCCCTCCAGAGAGGCTTCCTTTACCCCCCGAGACATCAGGTCCACCTCCCTGTCAATCAAATCCACGATGTCCCGCGTCAGCTGACACTCGTGCTCCTGTACAACAAGGACAAACACAACCATGCTGCCAACAATAACAGATATGATCATAGCAAACAAGTCTGGAGTATTGTGACGTACTAACAAACAACAAATGTAATGTGTGCAAAGCAGACTTTTATTTTGAAAGGTACCGTCAACACTCCTGATGTTATATTTCCTGTTTGTTTAATGTTTTCTAAAGTGTTGTTCATGTTTTTATGTAGAATTTGTATGTTTTCCTATAGAAGGGATTACACACACACACACACACACACACTCACACAGCGTGGGTATTGTTTGTTGGACAGCAGTGTGTGTGTGTGTGTGTGTGTGTGTGTGAGTGTGTGGTACCTTGACGGTGTGTTTGAGTGTCATGAGAACGTGGCGTCTCTGCTCGCGGCTGACAGTAAACAGACTGACGTCGTTGTACAGATCTCTCAGCTCTCTGGCTCTGATGGTGTGTTCACTGTCCTTCTCGATCAGTCGACCATCTGCAGCTTGCCACCGATGAGGAGCAGCAGACTGAAACACACCAACACACTGTTAGTACTACTGCTGATAATACTGCTGTTGTTTCTGCTACTGCTGCTACACCTCACAATATAACTACTGCTACTACTGAAATTAATATTAATACTAATGCAAATAATACTGTAAATATTAATCCCAAAAATTGCTACTACTACCCCTACTACTGATACTAGGATTACCACAACTAAAGCTAAGTTCTCCTCCTCCTCCGACGATGACTACACTACCCAAACATCTTGTAGAAGTAGCAGTAGTAGTAGTAAGAGTAGCAGTAGCAGGCTCCGATGACTACAACCACTACTACTGCTACTAGACATGCTAACCCTACAACTACTGCCCCAGTACTACTACTAATGCTCTTCATCGTCCTCCTCCTTCTACTTCTACTACTCATACTACTTGTTGCAGTATTCCTACCAAGGTAAGTTAGATTTAACACTCTCTGATTGTCACTTGCAATGACATTTAACACCAATTTTACAATGACCAAACTGAAGAGGAAAAAAAAACCAAAGCGACATCAGTGATGTGGGATTAGACCTATAAATACGTTCAAATTTTGCCCAAGTTTTGCATGGTGGAGACAAAGGGTAGAATAGAATTTGGAAATACCTATCGTTTATTGGTGAGTTTGAGTTTTATATGCACTCCCTCACACTGGTTTCAGCCATGCCATGAAATCTTGGTTGAATCGCACATTTTCATTGAATCTGCACTTCCCCTCGTCGTACAGGGCAGAGTAACATCAAGCGAGCAGACGGTGAATCATCTGCTCTGAGCAACGCGACCAGAGACCAAATATGATTATTGCTGGTTCTGCATTCTGACATGATGTTAATGCCAGAGGCTTTCAATAACTCATTATTAAAAAATAGATGCTACTTATTATTTTGAGATTTTACAATGTAATGTCAGAAAAAACAATTCATAAAATCCTACTTCTCATGTCTGATCAGTTGAAATACTTTTGAAGATTGATAAAAATACATTTTAAAACCAATTGAGGCCTTATTTTTATATGAATGAATTTAACGCATTTTAAGGCCTTTAAAGGATCTATGGAGCCCTGTTTTACTTGTATTACCACAACTACTACAGATATCAGTTCTATTGTTGCTACGTCGACTACTGTTTCTACAACTTCTATGACCAGTACTCCAACTAAAGGCCAAGACACACCGGCAGCAAACGCAGCACTTTAAACAATATGCCGCGCCACCCAGCCACACTTCATATCACTGTCCTATTTAATGCATTTTTCCTCCACTCACTCTCTGCTTGTACATACCGGCTCCTGTAGCAGCTCTTTTTCTCTGCTCCTATGGCAGAACTATTTTTCATGTGTGACAAAGAATGGATGAGGAGAGACTTGTTGTTGAGGTCCAGAAATATCCCGAGCTAAATGACCCACAATCAATTATTAGAAAGACAATGGCCAAAAAGATGCTTCCTGGCGAGTCAACTCTTAAGCTGAGACATCAAGTTTAATTAGGAGCTGTCCACACATGATTAAAGATCATTCTGATTAAGGTGGTCTGTTAACTCTTCTTGTACTCTGACTACTTACATGCCCCCCATTCTCTTTTTGTCTTTGATTGAGCAAGAGTTTTCTCTTAATTTTAGCCCTCACTTCAACATCAAGATCATTTCAAAGTGGATTTCTACCCAGACATAAAAACTGTTTTGATCTGGACTGAGAGAGCTGTGGGTGGAGTAGGAGCAGTGACCTCTGACCTTGTCCAGGAAGTTCCTGACAGTTTTGTCATAGTTGTTGTTCTGGACGGCGATGCGATGGCATCCAATGGCGGCAATGAGCTGCATCTCCTGCTCCAGCAGCGCGCAGAGAGCTGCCTTCCTCTCAGCTCCTCGCAGGGATGAGCTGATCTGCTGCTCCTCCTCACACCTCCACTCTGAACACACAATTAGAACATGTTACTCGTTAACATCAGCTTTACAACTGAGTGAGACCTCGTCACACGCAGCCTACTCTCTAGAGCGTGGTACAGCAGGTTGAAGTCCTCCCTCCTCTGAGGGTTCATCCAGCGGTGTCGACGGTCTCTCAGCTGCTCCTCTTTCTCCTCCTTCCTCTTCTTCTCCTGCAGCTCCAGCCAAGCTAGCCGCCGGTCCCGATCCCTCCTCAGCCTGGCCACCTCCTGCTGAGCCAGCCAGCGCCGAGCAAACGACTGCAGACGGATCGTCTGAGTGGGTGAAAAGAGACGAGGAGAGCAGGTCACCACAGAATATAAGAGCAACAAGATGAAATAAGGCTGCATAGTATCTTTACCAGAGTAAAACTTGTTTATTTATCATGTTATTTTATCACAGTATTCTATTAAGCTACCATATCTACATTGTTGACTCTGTTTTTTTGCTCCAGTAGGATAGATAGTCTTTCCATCTGTACAACAGGTTGATCCAGAACATGATATTTCAACTTTACGGGCCAAATTGTCCCAAAATTAGCAGGTGACCCCCCTGACCTTTCCTCCAGCACCACAATCAGGACAGATATTCCACTTGTAAACAAACTGATAATGCCATATTGACCATTTTCTACAATGGGGAGAAAATTCATAATTTGGATGTCCAATCAGTGTCGATAGTAAAGGTCATCAATTGAAGCAATAAATCCCTCACTACATGCTAAATCGACCAAGAAACCTGAGTTCTCCTGCACAGGGTCATGTTGGCAGCACCTACATGTACCAGGATGCATTGCACGTGGGCTTCTAAATAATGTTGCCGCAGCCTCGGCCTCGCTCTGCTGCATTTTTTTGGCTGTGTACTCTGGCTCAAATAACATCTGAGTCAGCCAAAACACTGCACAATGTATCCTCGTCCATAACATCCTCTGCACTCATATTTAGGGATGCCATTTTGCTGTTGGAAATGTTGCTAGTTTGCAATACAAGTAAAAAGAACAAGGAAGTTCAGTTGTTGAGTTCAGAGCACACCCCTGGCTACCCAGAGGTGGAGGCTAGAAATCCAAGCCGAAATAGCGTTTTCGTTGCCATGACCTACGTCTCTCTACCACATCAAATTACGGTGCTGGCTGCAGGAGGAACAACAGATTTTGCATCTGCAAACTCAGCTTTCTCAGTCAAGCACTGAAGAATTTATTGCTTCAACTGACTACAATTTTCATCAACACCAACTGGACATCATAAAAGGTGGCAAATCTTTCCCTTAAAGAAGTGCTTTTACTGTTGGAAAGGTCTTCTTACAAAACTGGGCTGTCTATGCATTAGAAAGGTGCAAAAACTTTTGAAAGTGAATCACTGAAAAAAAGAGAAAAAGGGCTGTGGTAAGTAAAACAAAAGTACAACTGCCACGATGCACTGTGCCTAAGCCGACTAATAAATGCTCCTGCTGGTGGGTGACATGATGCATGCATTGTAATCACACAAACTCAGTGTTCACCTACAGCTCTCAACCTCCTGTCATGATACTCATCAGCAGTGATGTAGTTGCCGGGGGTGACCAGTTTGTCGTTCATACAGGAGACGTAGCAGCCGATCCCGGTCATCTGGGTGGAGACGTTGACGGGACACTGCAGGGCCTGAGACTTCAGCTCCACTGTCTGACAGAGACACAGAGAAAGAGACTGAACACTGACACTTTTCTATAATTATAAACAAATTAATACATTCAAAACTAGAGCTACTGCCTAGCGGTAGTATGCCTCCGTGAACTAGTCAAGTTTTCCTTCAGTTTATATCCATGTCAGTGAAAACATGGATGCTTCACACACACAGAAGATCTATACAATCAGCACCCAAGATTAAAGTCACCAGTTCAGTATCTTTCCCCTTCTGTTCCTGAGATATGACGCTGAATGACGACCAGAAAAGTGTTCATGCAGAACATTATGATGTCACAATCAAGCTGACCTTTGACCTTTTGGATATAAAATGTCATCACTTTATAATTTCATCCTATTTAAGTGAAATTTTGTCATAATTAGTGTATGAATTCTTGAGTTTTGTGAAGTCACAGTGACTTTGACCTTTGACCATTAAATTCTAAACAGATCATCCTTGAGCCCAGGTGGACGTGTGTGTCAAATCTGAGGTAATACCCTCAAGGTGTTCTCGAGGGATCACATTCACAAGAATAAGACTGCTGAGGTCATAGTGACCTTTGACCTATGACCACCAAATTCAAATCAGATCGTCCTTGAGTCCAAGTGGATGTTTGTGCCAAATTTAAAGAAAGGTGTTTTCGAGGTATCACTTTTACAAGAGTGAGACAGATGAGGTCACAGTGACCTTTGACCTATGACCACCAAAATGTAATGAGTCCATCATTTGTGCCAAATTTGAAGAAACTCCCTCAAGGCGCAGTAGCATTTGTAATAGTGATGAAACGGCGAAAAACAAACAAAATGAGCATCAAATGAACTATGTTCAAAATAAACATGTTACAATAATATAAATAACCAGCAGCAATTAATCAGTCAGTGAGGATGTCTGTGTGTGGGCGGGGTATAAGCACATACAGCTGCAGCAGCGACCCACCATCTGACACCGGCACACTGTGAGGACGGAAACAGAGGGCTCGGTGGGGACGGAGCACCTGCTGCAGCAAGCCAACATGCCGTCTGTGATCATTTTGACTTGACCAGCGGACTTCACTACAAGCTGATTGGCTGTTGAAACAGGTCACATGCTTTACAACCAGCTGCCGGCCATTTGACCAGATGAGTCGCAGGTGACACCATCAGCCGGCTTGAGTCAAAGGTCAGACCGGCCAGTTCACATTGCTGCAACTTTTCTCTGCAGCGTCCTAAAACAGTTTTGTCTCGTCATGAATCGTTGGTCTGAGCTGGGCTTTAGACAGAGGAATGAGTTTCCCTGGTTGCTGATCTCTGTATGGAATAAATTGAGCTTACACCTGGCACAGGTAACCTCCATCAAATGGGCTAAAACTGTGAAAATATTCAGTGAGTTTTGTGGTTGTGCCTGAGGAGGGATCAGCTTCCTGCCCTGCAGACAGGCTCTGTCTGCTGATATGGATGAGCTGTGTAATGGAGGGAAGCAGGGCGGCTGCGAGCATCTGGAGGCCACAGCTGAGGTCACAGGCTTCAGGCTGTTAATGGAGGTTCACTGGAGGCGAGATGAGGTGGTGAGTAATGTTTTACATTTCCCAGGCTTGTGACACAGATTGATGATACTCGAGTACCCTAAAAAGTCTCAGTCAAACCTTTAATTAGTCTGGAATCATCTCAGAGCACCCAAAAGGACAGGACACACATTTTATATGAGCTTAGCTGGAACACTTATTGTTTAAGTGCAACTGTATAATATACTTTCAAAGTCCAGTGACATGATGAGCAAACACAAGAGTTAATTTCCACATGGAGTGTCAGCTGACTGATAATTCTAACGCGGTGATGGACACGAACCCTTCCTGGTGAAATCAATGAGACACTGAGCTGAAAAAACTCTGTTTCATTAAAAAGTCAAAGGTCACGGACTGTGTCCATAACAACCTCAGTAGGGAAGTCAGCTATGAATCCCAGAGAGCATCGCAGTGAGAAACATCCAACCAGAGAGAGTTTGACCTTTCATTAATGTCATCAGCTCGCTCTACCTGTGCTTTTGAAAATGTCTGCAGTGATCAACGTCTGCAAATCTACATCATGCCAAAAGGTTTATTAAGATTCAGGTTAACAAGATTTATTCAGACAAAGAACGACAACATGCGAAATACAGGATGGACGTATTTTTGACAGGAAAGAAAAAGTGATGCTCAGTGAGCGCACACGTCAATTAAATCCTGAAGGTGTCAGTCTGCTCCTCACAGCGTCTGAAGCTCCATCCATCCACACCTCTCTGACATCAGATCAACGGCACTGTGTGCAACAATCTGACAGTTGGGCCAGGTTTGATTTTCTCTCTCAAATGTTTCATACATCTAACAAATTCTTCTGTCACTTTTTGTGTGAACACCTGACAGTGGTGTGGTGATGTAACGAAGTAATGCTTTGTTAAAATACTTAAGTATTTCTTGGTAGTATCTGTACTTCACTTGGGTTTTTACATTTCTGTCAACTTTCACTTTTCCTCCACTGCATTACCTAATAAAATTTATACTTTTACTAAAACTATTTTACTCTAATTTTACTCCACTTTCTGAGTCCTAAAAATTAGCGTTACTTCCTCACTACAAAATAAAATCGGAAGGTTCGGCGAATCAGTGCTCCTGGTTTGCAAATTAGATCATAGGTTAATCACAGAAGGGCAAACAAGTGCTCTCAGTGCTCCAGTTAAGTTTCAATATCCAGTAAAGCTTAGGCTGCATGTAAGAATACATGCTACAAACAAGTAATAGTACAAGTAATATTCTGATTTAACTTTGACCAAAATCATTTTCTGGTAAGATATCTGTACTTCTACTTAAGTCTGGCTTTCAGTATTACACTGCCCTCTGGCACCGGAGTGCAACATCAAGACTTAGAGGAGAGACCGTCTCAAAATGTGCGCCGTTATCCCCATTTGTACGATTCATAAATTCCAGTGTGGATGTTGGAAACAGCTGTGGACACTTAAACGTGGTTGGATGACACGTTGCACCAACTGATTTGTTCCAAGCATACCAAAGCCTTAAATAGGAACACTACGAAGACTATCTTGTTCTGGCATTATAGGAGAGCCTTGTGTCGATAACATTTATACACTCAGTTGGACAAAAGTTTCATTTGCATGTTTTTTATTTGCACAGCAAAAACTAATAAGATATATAGACATGTAAACAATATGCAGATTATGTGCTTGATAATGTTAGGTCAGGTAAGTCAAAAAAGAGAGAATTCCTGATGAACTGAAGTCATAGGGTTGGCGTTTAACAACAGCACAACAATGTCAAAACTTCTTTTTACACAAACACAACTCCAGCAGTTTAAGTGTCATTTATCCAGTTGTGTGCTTAGCACTTCTCAAACACACAATCCTTTCCACTGCAAAACTGAAATGAAAATGAAATCTATCTGTGCTCTCTTCAAAACCGGACTCCACTGACAAAAACAGCAGTTTTAACTGGCTGAACACAGGAGCTGCTCGTCTCTTGCTGCCTCCATCAGAAAGTTTGTTTGTGTTATTGTGTGACTTTGGTGTTTTAAAGCGTTAGCTCAGATTCACCAAAGTTACACAATAACAGAAACAAACCACCCAGTTACTGACTACTGTACAGTAACAAAGTCAAGGGTCAGAGGTCACTGTGCTGTGACAGCTTATTAAACAACTGCTTACAGGTTGCCACACATTTATAGATATGTTTTCATGTTTCTCATTCATGCTGGGGTTTTTAACACTTTGAGGAATATTTTAGGGGAGCTGAATAGAAAAAGGGACAGAAACACACAACTGTGACGTGATTCCTAAATTAATAAAACATTAGATTCCTATTATAACCACTGATGATAAATGAGGTGCTGTAAAGAGAAGGAAGACAGGATAATGAGGCCAACAGGCTGTGACCCTGTGATGTGTGAACAGTCTTTACTGTGGGGTAACAGGTCATCTCATCACAACATCAACACACACACACACACCCTGAGGTCTCATTACTGCAGCGGTGTGTGTCTTCATATATGTACATCTGTAATGAGCCAGCCTCCGTCATTAGAGTATATTTGTGGCAGAGGGCAGCTGTGTGCAGGAGGGTGAAGGTGAGTGAGTCACACACTGTCTTTGAGGTGGAAAAGACAAAACATCATGATCTGACATGCTGAAAGTAAAAACAAAAAACTGATCTGACAGCGCTGATGGAGCGGCGGAGTCATCATGAAGACTGTTGCAAATTATTTGAGCTCATAAACATACTGGTTATTATTTATTTATTTATTCTGACTGTGATAATTAATGAAGTGACAGATGCTGTGCTGGGCCACATCTGTAAATATGCACAGCATCTCTCTAATTTGGAGATGCACACATTGATCCATTCACCATCCTCCTCCTTACGTGGACTGTGTTGCTCTATAATAGTGTTACATTAATTCCTCCTTTATTCACGAGCCGGCTTTTATCACTTTAAATCCTGTCATTTATCTTGGGAGGACAATCTCGTGCATTTACATATTGAAAATTATACAACAGTTAGTTCCGGCCCTGCAATCTGATTGGTCGACAGACAGTAAAACCGTGACGATATTGGAGTACAACATCACGGTTATTTCACTGTGTATGTATTACTCCGCCTCACAGCTGATTGCAATCAACAATCAAATCAAAACTGACGGTTAGTGTCAGTTAGGTCAGCAGATGCGTTGCATCCCTGGAAAAGTATTTAAACAAACTTCCACCAGATGCAAATGCCCTTTATCTGAAGCCCAGGATGACAGCAGCTCACACAGACAATCTCTGGTACACTAAAGCTCCGCTGGGAATAAACTCACTCACACAGATGCTGCCGAAGATGTGTAAAGAGGCGGGGACAACAGCTATCTACACCAGTCACAGCCTCAGGGCGACTGCCATACAGAAGCTGTCAGATGCGGGTCTTGAAGCCAGGGAGATCATGACAGTGAGTGGGCACAGGTATGATGTTGTTTTAACGCAGCCTATGTGTAAAGTTAGTCTTCTAATTAGGAGTCGGGCCCTAAATATACCTTTTGTCTTGCACGTCTGAGAGCTTAAAGCTACTGGAAGCCATCCATGGAGAGCAGGAAACGATGGAGCAACATACTGTCAGATCAGAAGGCAGAGTCAGCTGTGCCTGTGAAGCGACAGTCCACCATGCAGTCACCAGAGACTTATTTCACCGGCTGCACAATTAATGGAAATGTGCAGATAAATGTGTATAAAGAGTAAGTGCCTGGCGCACCATGTCTGCGTTACATAGCAACGGTGACAGCGGAGTCCTGAGGGAACTACTTTTGTTGGTGGAAGACAAATAAAATGCTTAAATTATCTATTTTGTCCTCATTTTTCAACATTTCTTAATCAGCCTTGCTTATTTAACTGTTGAACTGTTGTATAAAAGCAATATCACACTTGAGCTTGTGATGTTATACTCGTATATCGTCACGGCTGTGACTGTCTTCAGCACTCAGCCTGCGGCCTCATGCCTATGACCAAATCACAGCCGTGATGATATACGAGTATAACATCACTCCCTCTCGTGTGATATTGCTTAAACATCACATGTACTTTCTCCAAATCTCCCTGCTGTCACAATGAAATATTTCTACGTATATGTAGGTTTCTTTACTTGTTAAAGGTCAGTTCACACATTAAATTAACAAAGAGAAGTGTAATTTATTCAGTTCAAATCCTTAGTCCTCAATGCCCATGACAACCTGGCGCTAAGGGTGCGTTTGTCTCGTCTCGGGACCAGACCGGACCGGACCGGACCGGACCAGACCAGACCAGACCAGACAAGATAAGATAAGATAAGATAAGATAAGAAGAGGGGAGAGCTGTAGGAGGAGGGTGTATTTTCAAAGGGACTGTATACATGCCGTGTTTTATGCACCCTCAAATCCATTGTTTTCAGTGTAGACGCGCCAGATAAACTGAGTTCAACTTTTGGAACTCAGCAGTGTCCCGCATGTCATAGGATGAGGCACAACCAATCACAGCTGACAGATATCTTTCCCTTCTTCTGTAAATTTCAGTCTGTGATAAATATGGAAAAGTTGTACAGGGCTACCCAGAGCTTTACATCTGTCCCACAGACGACAGGCTTATAAACAGCTCCTGGAAGAAGATCAGCTCTGCTCTCAGGATTTCACGTAAACAGGCTATATGATGCTTGTTAAGGTTGCTTAGCAACCTCAGACGCAACCTGCTGCTGCACTCTTGAAAGCTCGTTTTCGTTTTTCTTTCCTCGTTCAGATTTCTGCCTACCCAAGCTTTAACTTCAGTAAACAACACAAGCTGCATCGACTTAAACACTAATTTACACTGTGTGTCCTGTGTGCAAATCAAACATTTATTTATAATGTTCAGTTTTTGGCTCCACCATAACTGAGAGGCTGAGAGGTGTTTTGTCATATATATAAATAGGGGGGCAGTGCAGAACTACAGCCTCCAAAATGATCTCACAGATTCACCCAGAAAAAAGTTGACATGATAATTTATTTTTTATATAAAAAATCAATGAAGAAATGTCACATTCTTTATTGAGAGCTCGGTTAATCTTGCTTTACTTTGTTTTGTGACACGGTCAAGACTTTATTTTGTTTGAATGTTGGTCTGTTTAGCTTTAGCTCTTCAAAAGTCTCACTAAAGTTCAGTTTCTGAAATCAACTCAGACACCAACAAAAGTTGCAGACATTCATTTTAACTGACAAAATGTAAAAGCTAACGTTGGGTGAACATTGACTGTGATGGATTATCTCTGTGCAGCAGGCTTCACGTCTCTGTGAGTTGATTTTCACAGAAATAAGAAAGCATGGAAGCAAAGAAATCAATCTGAACAGTGAAGGATGATTAAAAAAAAGATCAGCAGTGATCTAAATTACCTACATGTTGTTTTTAAGCTAACAAGGTTAATTATACAAAACCCTAAGTGAGGTATTTCTGGACTAAAACACTGTGTAAGTGTTTTTCTTTGGTTGATATTCTCCTTAATATGAATAAATGAATGCACAAGACTGTTAGAATCAAACTAATTAAACATAACATGTACCAGAGAGGTGTTACAGTGACCATTTGTCTTCTGTCTTCTGGTTCAAGGAGCTCATTTACACTCTTCCTCGCTCTCTGTAATTAAATTGTTTAATTTGCACATAAAGTCGTGTTGTCTCATGCCTGAATGAGAACGCTGCTCTGCAGTAATGAGTGACCTTTAAATGCACCACACACACACTTGCTGTTGGTCTGTGTGGTGGCTTTTAATCATTATGTTCTTCCATGTTCATTGTTTTTATTCTGTATTAAATTCTGTCTGAAAACAAATGTATCACTACCCGACTGAACTAAAGTCTGTCACTTTGTTTTGAAGCCCTGTGCTAGCCTGTACCTGTGTGTCACGGCTGAACACCACCACTCCTCTGTCAGGTCTCCTCTTGGGCAGGGTCTGGATGGCAGCATGGTGATACTCTGCCCCCGTCAGCCGGTGTCTGTAGCCGCCCAGGAACGCCTTCTGCTGGGGAGGACGCTCAATCTCCACCACCACCTCCTGGAACACGTCCTCATCTGGAATTCAGAAGGAAAGAACTGAAGTCTTTGAACAGTGTTCCTGTCGTCAAGTGTGTGGCCCAAAAGTCCGGCAGAAAAAGTGATGGGATCTGTCAAAAAAAGTATGTTCTGAAATAAAGTACCTTCACACCATCATTGCAAATCCTTTCATCCTTCATTCACAGCTTGTAATAATTTCAGCTTCTCCATATGAACAAGGCAGAGCTATTTAGTCTAGAATTTAGGAATTTAGTTTAGCTGTATGTTCACTGAACTAGCTTTATACATGTATTTATACTCCACTTGTCATGTCAGAACCAGCAGTGGCACAACCGATGATTTTGACATCGTGACAGGTGTAAGACAGGGTTGCATCATGTCACCCTTGCTCTTCCTTATCATTTTTGATTTTGTGATGAGGAAGACCCTCGCCAGGACGAACTTCAGTATCAAGCGGGGACAGGGCAGACTGCATGACCTGAACTTTGAGGACGACCTGGCTCTGATTAGTCATACCCATGTTGCACTCCAGGAGACGACCAGCAATCTCCAAGAGCACAGAGCAAAGGTTGGTCTACAGATCAGCCACAAGAGGACCAAGGCCATGATCATCGGACAGGATCAACATCACCCACCACTCACTCTAGGCGAGAATGACATTGAGTATGTTGAGAAATTCACGTATCTTGGCAGTAACATGTCGAGTACAGGAGACGTGGAGAAGGACGGACGAACGAGAATCAGCAAAGCTGCAGGAGTGTTCCAACGGCTCCCCAACATATGGTCATCCAAAGCCATCACTACAGCCATCAAGCTACATCTGTATATGTCAGTGGTCATTCCAACAGCAACCTATGCCTGCGAGATGTGGATGAGGACTGCCAACATTACCAACATGTTGGATGTCTTCCACCGACGATGCCTCAGAACCATCTTGAGGATCTCATGGCGAGACCACATCACCAACGTTGAGGTGATGAGAAGGGCAGAGGTGGCGCTACTGTCTGACATGGTCTCTGACAGGAGAAGAATAATGGCTGGACACGTACTCCGACTGCCAAGAGAGAGACCAGCGAGTGTGGCAATGGACTGGGTGCCTGAGGGCGGCAAGAGGAAGAGAGGGAGGCCAAAGAAGATGTGGAGACAGACGTTTAAGGAAGACCTAAGCGAGATGGGTGTCAGCTGGCATGGTACAAGGAGGGTCGCCAGGGACTGGAGCAAGTGGAAGGTACTCGTCGCCCAATGTTCCAACAGGAACAGGAGGAACTTAGTCTAAGTCTAAGCATATGTTTTTTTGTGTTTCTGATTTCCTTTGGCCTTTTGTGCTATGGAGTCTGAAGTGACAACAGAATAATTATAGAATTTAAAAGTATTTATTTACAATCAATTAATCAGTTAAAAAAAACACGTAAGTAGTTGATTAGTTACATTGGGCAGAAATGGAATATAATATAATAAGTATGTTTTCTTTAGTGTGTAATCACCTGAAAATAAGAACATAGCTCAGAATGAGCCGCTTACATCTACATCAGAAGCAGGTCCTTGCCTAAAGAGATCACCATGTTGAACTGCCATGTTTCTACAACAAGCCCCTCCACAACAAGCAGCGTGGGAAGATTTTTTTAACCTGAAACTGCTTTATTCAATGCCTTTAGTGATTTAAATCACCAGGCTTGTTTGTTTTGGAGAGGAAGAGACCTCTGTGGATAATTTAGCTCCTGTTAAAAACCTCCTTAACAATGAACACTGACAGAATTCTAATCGGTTTGCAGACGTTTCAGTTGGTTGCAATCTGCAATCCTCAGTGCTCATGCCATTAAATCCCCCAAAATCTTACAACAACATACAAATCAAACGTACAAAGTTTACATTTTTTACTTAATTAATAAAAAACTCAATAATTAATTTAAAGCTAATTTCTGACAGACAGACTGACACAGAGCACTGATAAACCATCAGCCGTAACATCTGTAGAGGACAGTGCAGACAGCAGGGTGTTCACACCTGTTTGGACTCGGACGGTGATGACATCCGGCATGTTGTCATGCTCTGGGGGGCGAACTGGGCGGAGTGGGTGGACGGTCGGGTCAGTGGAGCTCATCTCCATCCGGGTGGAGCCGTGAGGCTGGACGCCGAGCTCCATCAGGCTCTGCTGCTCCTCCACTACTCTGCCTGAAAACATTAACAGAAATCTTACAATTACACGCTGGAAAATCTTCAAGTCTTTTGACTCACATTTGGGCACTTTGAAACAGATAAGTGCACATGACAGCGCCCCCATGACACAGGTTTGTGAAATTCTATGAAAATTCATATTAACAAGCAAAGTTTATAATAAGTATTTTAAACTGCCGTTTGTCTGATTTTATTTTTTCAATATACATTGCCAGTCTCAATTAGAAAAAAAAGGAAACACTTTATATTTTGATCGACTAGAAATTCATTTTTCTAACCATTCCTTTTGTTTTCACATATTTTAGATGCAGAAATCAACATTAGATTCTTGTCTGATGTTGTTCTTGGGCTTGCTTAATGACTCACATCACTCTGAGAGGAACCAGTAAAAGAAACATGGTAAAATATGTTTTTCTACAATAAAATAACAAAATCAGCATTTATTTTCGTTTATTTTTCGTTCTCGTGAGATATGATGTTTGCTTGCATTGACAGGTGTCAGGCTGTTGCCACAATTTACTCACTGCTCTTCAACTCTTCAAACCCTTCAAAAATCCCAAACATCTCTGTGTTTGTCGAGAAACAAACCTACCGTCCAGAGAGACCTGCAGCACCTCAGCAGGAACTCTGAGCTCCGCGGCGAGGTGAAGCTTCAGCTCCTGAATGCTGAGACCGATGGCGAAGGCCACAGTCATCACATGACCCTCTGGCACCAGCACCACCTTCACTGTAACACACCACACACAGAGACAGTCTGTCACACGCTGAGTTTACCTCTGAAATCTGTTTTCTTTGTGTCGTGGGATTTTATCAGGACAGTTTTATATAGTAGCATGTAGCTGAAAACTACTAGAGCTGACACACAGAGGGGAGCAGGGGTCGGCCGGGAGTTTGCCCAGTATCGCTTTACAGATAAAAATATACCAGTGTTGTTGTCTGCGAGTGGTCAGTGATCCAGTCCAACCCACCAAATCATAAAGAATGCAGTGTTGAGTCAGGAAATTTGCATTTGTTGCAAAACGTAGAGATGCATGGTACACAGAATCAAGGCTACAGAAAATGAAAGAGGTTCCCTGCACATGCAATGTCACCTTGATCAATCACAGACACAGACATTATAATCATATCTTATTTTACATTTTGTATTTTTTGTCCTCTTGTTTTAACTTAACCCCAAATGCACCTTAGTTGTGTCTCATTTATGTTTTGGTCGGACTGTTTGGCCCTCTGTTGCCATACTGCCTTCTGAGTATCCTGTTTCTGCTTTGTCTGTCAAAGCACTTTGTAAACTCTGTTTTTAATGATGCTATATGAATAAAGTTAAAATTATTATAAAGTTATATTGCGCAGCCACGCTTTGATGGCAATGAAGAAGAACAGCATGTATGTCGGTATCTTTTTTAACAGTGAATTAGTGATAAATCACCTTCATTCATTTTCAACTGATGTCATGAGCACGTGTCTCATTAAAACAGGGCTGCAAAAATGTTTTTGAATGAGGGACAGATTAGATAATGTGAAAATACCCGGGGGCAGCTGCTTCCTGCATCATATGTGTTAATGGGGAAAAAACACAAACAAACGAGATAAACACAACTGATTCATTTTTTAGTGAAAAAGTATTCAACATTATACCATTCCTAAAAGAAGCAGCGCTCACTTTTGACTTTACACTTCTTTGCTGTGGACATGTCTGCTACCTCACAGGAAATGTCTGCAACTGTCACCATTCATTTGCTTGTTTACTGTTTATGGAAACACATTAGCTCTGCCTACGTAGTCTGTATTTGGTGCATGTCCACACACTGTATGATGGTCCTCCTGTCATGAGGGGAACGGAAAAAATAGAAAGTGAATAATGTGTGGTGGGCCACATATCATAAATTTTAAGAGACAAGCCTCAGGCCATATAAAATTGGCCCCCTAGGCCGGACTTTGTACATGCCTGTATAAAGAGGAACAAAGCTCCCCCTGGCTCCTCTGTGCTTTACTGCCTAATTGGGGATTTATTTAATGTTTTGGTCGCCGCTAATAGAACTTTAACAAGATATTGATCCTCATGTTGTATAATCCCTGTGTCGGGTTACCTAGAAACCACACAACACATCTTCAGGACTTCACTGCCTACACGAATCTTTCCATTTTTCTGCCAATCCCAGAATGCATGAATATGATCTGCATTCATTTGTTATGGTTTGTTTATATCGTGCCTCCCGATTCTATCACTCTGCCAATATGTAAAACTGAAATGGAAATAAAAACTGAAGGATCTGTGTCAAATGAATTTGAGAAATGTGTCACACCGTCAACACATCAGTCTTAGTGAGACAAAATCTGATAGTACAGGTTTTATCTTTTTAAAAATGGAGATAAATAGAATTTCATTTGGAAGATAAACTGAATGAATCTCATCATGCAGCATCAGAAACAGTGTTTATTCTTAAATTACCACTTTGATGACCATTACAAACACATTATCTTAACTTCCAGTGTTCTTATCCTGTATCATGGCTCAGATTTTACAGATTCTCTCATTAGTTTTGCAGCTGTAGTTTATTTTTTAAGTATTTTAACATATGCTGACACGGGAAGAAAATGCAAACGAACGCTTGCTGTGGGGCGACAACACTAACCACCACCATGCTGCCATGCCATCTATATTATGTACAGAGTTTTTTGTTATATTGTTTTCTGAGAACTAAAGAATTTATCAATAATAAACAAAATAAATAATAACTGTTCTTTGGATTTGAAACTCTTTAAGTTTCAGTCTGACCTGTTGCCGTAGAGTTTCCAACATCTTCTTTTCTCTGAGGCTCTCTGAGCTGCTCGGCATCATCGGGCAGATCAGCCTGAGATTCAGCTTCTTCAGCAGGCTGAGGTACATCTGTAAAGTCCAGAGGGTTATGGTTAATCACATAAACACATTAAAATTATTAAAAGAATTACACTTCTCAATCACTAGATTTAGGAAACCTTTTTTTTAATCCACATAAGCACCATCGCTTGAGGGATGACAATGTCAGTCTGTCTGTTGGTCGGTCAGTCGACCACTTTTGGATGGATAACCATAGAATTTATAACTCTTCATCAAATGAAATAAGTCCTCATCATTATAGTTTGATTAAGCTACGAATATTTGTAAATAAATAAATAAAATATTGGCTGATATTCTCCTCTGATGTCAACATGCTGCCGTTTATTGTTTTGTGAAAGAGAAATCCAAAGTAAATCATCCATATTTTTTCAGACTTTGTTAAAACTATCAGCCACTGAATCTGACACTTTTGTTTTAACGAGTGATATCAGATGCATGCAGGATCTTTGAAACTGTCTGAGTTAGACTTTGACCTGTTGAGACTGAATTTCCAACATTTCCTGTTTGCTGAGGCTCTCTAAGCTGCTCGGTGTCATCCTGCAGATCAGTTTCATCTTCTTCCGCAGCCTCCAGCATATCTGCAAAGTCCAAAAAGATTTTATAGACCTGAATGTCAATACAAATATTCCCATCAAACACTAGACAAGGATAGCCATTTTAGTATCTAATAAATACATCCACCAAACTACTTGAGATATCTGCAAAATAAATTTTTAAGAAGCTGCACTTCACCTATCATCTCAAATTTTGGAGCCCTTTTGTAAAATTTCTTCTTTTTTTATTTTATTTTAAATTTCAATGCCGAATTAAACCAGAAAAATATATGACAATGTGGAACATTTAAATATTTATTAGTTGATTTATAACACTGTCAGGGACCTCCAGTCAGTCTGAAGAGGTCAAACTTAATTTTTTATTATTTAACCAAAGAAAAATACAAAGAACATCGGTGGAAATGATGCAACTGAAAACAACTGAGGTACCATTAATATGAAAATCAAGAGAGACTTTAAAGGGTTTTTTTGGGGAGTTTTTCCTTATCCGCTGTGAGGGTCTTAAGGACAGAGGGATGTCGTATGCTGTAAAGCCCTGTGAGGCAAATTGTGATTTGTGATATTGGGCTTTATAAATAAAATTGAATTGAATTGAATTGAACAAAAACAAAAAGGAGAAACATCAGGTAAACCAAATAAATAAAACACAGTAGAAGAGGGAGTACGTGCTTTCCACTTAGGGACTATTCGTTACTTATGAAGGGGGAAGGAGTAGTGCAAAAAGGAGGAGGCGTGTCAAATAATTTTTTAAACACTAGGGAGGGACTTGTGTTTTTTATTTCAGCTTAGGGGTGGAGCATACAAATGTAAATGGTTGTATTCTTTATTTATTTTACCACTGGAAGGGATGCTTTCTTTAAAAATCACCAAATTGCACCATTTATCTCAGCCAGAAACTGTGAAAACGACGGCTGTTGGACACATCATGTGCAATGTACGCCTCCATCAGAAAAATCCATCATCAAATCTGAGCATAAAATATTGATTTTTAATCAAAATCTCTTTATTATACATTTAAAATTTGGCAAAAAATAAACCGCTTACACAACTTTCAAATGTCAAAAGGTGAGTTTAAAAATCTAATCACTAATTTATGGTGGAGGCAGGGTCATGCAATTTCTGCCAGTTACCCAGGGAGGCTCTCGAGAAAAAACATTTATAGCTTCAGGGAGGGTAGAAAAAAAAGAGGTCACACCTCCCACCTCTGATAAGTAAAACACAGACCCTTACAAATATCAATATGATATTTAACACTCCTAAAATAACAAAACTAACAGCATCTAGAATGTTTGCATTCAGGTTGTGCATAAAATAAATTATATCATTATTACTAAAGTACAGGATATTATCCATTTTAGTGACAACCAGTACCAGTTGTAAATGAAAGACTAAAACTGGAGAGGTCAAACTGGACTCACATGAGGTCAAACTGGAGTCACCTAAAGTTAAACTGGACTCACCTTAAGTCGAAGTGGACTCATCTGTGGTCAGACTGAACTCACCTGAGGTCAGACTGAACTCACCTGAGGTCAAACTGGACTCACCTGGGGTCAAACTTTGCTCACCTGAGGTCTTCCTGTCAGTCTGCACCTCCTCTCCATCCCTCCCCGGCTCTCTGTCGTCCTCTGTCGGCTGTTCTTCAGTAACTCCACCTGGCTGGAGGTTTGTTTCCGTCTTTTCCTCCTCACCTTCTTTCACCTCCTGCTCTGTATCTTCTCTTTGCTCCGACATGGCAGCTTAACGGTAACTAACCGGCTAATGCTAGGTTAGCTTGTTAGCTGCCTCACTTTAAGTCAACTTAAGTTAACAAACGAGCTGTAAACCCGCCTGAACGCTGAGACACGGTGACACAGCCGTGACACGGTGAGAAACAAGTCCAGTGACCCTCGTTTAAACTTCTTCTTTAATCCTTTATCTGGTTTATTCTCATCTTTTTAGCGAGAATTTGAATTAGCAAAGCGCAGCTAGCACTCTTTCTAACGTTAGCTTGGTCTCCAGGCAACGCCAGAGTGTACACGTTGCTATGGAAACCATAAACGTCACTGTCAAAGTAGACTTCCGTTTTCTTTGGAGTTTATAAAAACAAAAGTATATTCTTCCAAAATTAAATTGATAAAAAAAATATATAATTTTGTTACTGATGGCGTTTAACTGAGATGATTGTAAACCTGCTCCTAAAGGTGAAAGCTTTTCCTGTGACTTAGGGACTGTTCTTTACTTTTTAGAGGAGGAGGAGGGTGGCTGGGTGAGATTTATTTTTATTTATTCATTTGTTTGTTTTGTTTGTTTTTTTGTGGACTCTCCCTGAAGCTACAAATATTTCCCAAGACTGGCAGAAAATGCACAACCCTCTTCCCACTATAAATTAGAATGGCCAAATGTTTTGGGGTTTTTTCTTCTATTTTTGATCATTCTGTCAGTGTGTCATTCTGTCAGTGTGTCATTCTGTCTGTCCCACGTTTTTCTACTCACTGACGTGGTCAATCTACTGTACTTTCAATAAAGCAATCGTACTATCAAATTCACAAAAGCTCTGTCTGAATACATTGCTCTTCTTAATGGGTTCACTTGACTATTTAATTTGCAATTTCCTATGACCTGTATCCCAAACACACACCGTGTGAAACTGTACATGGGCAACTGTGCACTCAGTGGGTATGGACTAGTGTGAAATAAATATATAAATTATGACGATGCATAAACCAACACACTGTTTGAAAAAATAAATTGGTACAGTAACCAATTTTGTTGTTATAGCACAAAAATAAAAATCTTGTAGAGGCAAGAAGCCCCCAGACTCTAACTAAATAAAACAAACTAAAACCTTGATGGAGTATTAGATAGATTAATCAATAGACTCATTATTTTCAGTGTGTGGAATCATTATAATATCAGTACAATTAAATACACATTGTATTCAGTGTTTTGCTTTTCCTTTAAAGATGTTTACTTTGTACTCTGATAAGAAGGAAGATGGCAGAATGTGACCAATTTTGTTGATTTATAACGTTTAAATATCAAATAAAAACTTAAATTTACGTTTGATTTTAGCTTTACATGCCAAACATACAAAGTACGATCAACTGAACCAGTTAAGGTGACAAAATGTAATGTGAATAAAGTGTTTTGGCCTCACAAAAATGTACATTTAAAATATTCGTTTTATTTAATTAAATATGCATATGTGATTTAGTGTTGCATTTAGTATTGTTTGACTGGTAATGTTTTTTTTTGCATTGTGCGGGACCAAAATTATATTAATATACAAAGAAATACTTTTACTAGCAGTAATGGTAGTTGGTGTTTGTAATTTTCATTGTGCTCACACACTTTACCTCTAACGACTACAAATACATGAACGTATGGACAGATAAAATCTTTAATTGTTGGCTGTGTCATTGTGTTATTTTAGTAATGTTACAGCCTCCCTCTGTGTACAGCGACCGTATGGGAGCTTTATGTTGAGCTGTGCTGCTGCTGCTATTTCAGTCTGTGAGCCAGAGGAGGCGACATGGTGGCCCCTGTAAAGCTCCACTAATCTGCAGCTGGACATCAGCTGGCTCCCCGGAGATCACGGAGCTGGGCCCAGTGTAAACCTGTCACACACACACACACACACACACACACACACACACACACACACACACACAGGTATTCATTTATCCATAGGGGGTCCTGTTTGTCCTGTTAGTGAATCACAGTGTTTCCCACTGAGACACTTAAACACACATGTGGGGACATGTTAGCTAAACGATCTGGAATTTGGGAGGGGCTTTGATGCAATATGAAACTGTGCAATACAAAACAAAGTGATAAGACACAAAAACATTCTACAATATAATATGATATATGATGAAGTACGACCAGTGGTGGAAAGTAACTAAGTACACTGTCTCAAGCAGGCTAAATACAGTTTTAAGATATTTACTCGGATATTTTGATTTTCTGCTACTTCCTACTTAAACGTCTCAGAGGCAAATACTCAATAACACGTCATCAAAATGTCACCCTAGTCTCGTCCTGCCGGCTCACACTTTTTACACAGACGTTGATGCGACACGGTTACAACCTTATACTAACCTTAAACCTGATACTTCACCTACCTACCATTTGTCATCAGTCATGTCGCGTGAGCTTGAATTTGTGAAGAAACCTTTTCTTGCATGCCTTTACAGAAAACCTTCCAAACACATACATGTTTTCACATATAATCCTTTTTAAACAAACCAAACTCAGTCCTCTTAAAGTGCACAAAAAGTGGACAAACAGAAAAGGAGCTCAGTCCTCTTTCTGTTCACACTATAGCCTTGAGTATATATAATATTGATATAGTTTTGTTTTTACTCTGCTGCAGTGTGGTTATGAAGCCCCTCACTTTCAGATGAACTTAAAATTGGAGGTGTGTCTGAGCTGTAAACTGTTGCTGTTTGATGTATTCTACATTCCACACCTGGAGACGTGCAGTATCTTCTGTGGACCAAACCACTCCTCGTCCTGCGTCCTTGCAAACGTTACAGGCCGACTTGGTTTCATCTGGTTATTTAAGTGTCCCGGTGCAACAGCATGTGATCTAGAGGGCTGAATACAACAGCAAAGAGCAAAGTGAAGCTGGAGCGCTTTGTGTTCACACAGGTATACAGGTTAAGGGCCTGTTCATACGGTTCAGTATATTTCTGAAAAACGGGTATGCGTTTGCACCTATCATTTTCACGTAGCCAGCGTTTTTCTTGACAAAAATAGAGATTTTCAAAAACGGCTTGCAAAGTGAAAGTTTTTAAAAATATCTGTTTCTATGGAGACGTGTAAACAGGATAGACGGAGATTTTAGAAAACAATGATGTTGCAACCCAGTTTGTGCATGCCCAATAGGCGCCCGGGAAACACAACAACAATGGCAGACATATACCGGGTTGTTTACGTTTTGTTAGTACTTTTGGGACTATTTACATGCTTACAAATGAACTTAGCACTGCTGCATCAACATCACCACTACATCGGCGCACAAAGACATCTGCTGTGCCCAATATTAGTAAGTGCATAGCAGCTAACTATGCTACATAAGGTTAAAATGTAGTTTATCATTGTTTTTATCACTAGCGCCAAGAGGAAAACAAGTCACTGGGCATGCGCAGAACGTTCTTCTATGGTGTTTGACATATGGCGTCTCGCCACCTGCTGGCCTGGCATGATAATTGCAGCAAAAAGCTGCCGTTTCTGCGTTTTCGTGTGAGCAGGGATATCGTTTTCACAACTGATGGTGTAAACCCAGAATGTTTTTATATGGGATAAATAAAAATCTGTTTTTATTTGTATCGGTATCCCTGTAAACAAGGCCTTAATGAACCACACTGCAGACTTAAAGCAAACCATGCTCAGACAGTCGCCTGAGGCAGTCTGAGTTTGGTTCGCTTTAGAAGGGTCTGAGATCACTTGAAGTGTTCACACATGCACAAAAAATGCTGAGTCAATACTCTGAAGCGTTTAGAGGGCTGGAAAGGACCAAGTGTGAAAACACCCTAAAATCTTAGTTGACTGAAAGCTGAACTAATCTCTGCCCTCTTCAAAGCTAAACTCCAATACTAAGGTTTTTAGTTAAAATAGAAGTACTGAGCAGGATAATTGAGACTTGGATTATACTGCAGGACTTGTGTGACATGTTGATATAGTTTTGCTGTTGTTAAACATGGTCCACAATCAATCAATAAATCATTATGTTCACCATTTTCTTCATGAATTCAACGTAACACAGCACAACTACCTGATGTACAGATGGTCATATTGTAAGTGAAGTGTCCTTTTAAAGGCAGAACAACTATGTCCCCCCCGTCTGTGTTCACAGCAAAGACTGTAAAAATAATGCACGTAGCCATAGTGACATCACCGACTGGATTGTGGACTCCTGTTTAAAACCTCGGGCTGAATCCAAACATCCATCCTTTGAGCCCTCACAGACTGCAGTCACATGCACTGTGATGAGTTCATCATCACATTGCTGACAGACAGCCCTCGAGACTGTTTTACTTGTTGCCATGGAAACATTTGAGCGATGATTACAATTGTTGTACTGTAACTGCTGTCATATTCTGTCTGCTCATCTGTCCCTGTAGATAACAAGATATGAATCTCATGCATATGGCTGCTCTGTTAGTGAACAAAATACATTTGTGTAGAACACACAAACTGCAGACACACAGATACAGACCAAGCTGTGACTAAATAAATTGGGTAGACCTGTTAGTGACATCAGAAGATCTTCTTTAGTTGTTTTGCAGCCACTTTTCTATCCTTTATATTTGGCATTACCCTGCACAACGTACAGGATAGGCTGCAATAATACAAAGCATTCCAATTCATCGTATGTTGTTGAATATTATTTCTGGCCCACACAAGTCAAGTGTGTAATAGGCTAAAGGAACTGTTTCACATACACATAAGTTTCGTTTTTTTTAGTCGGCTATTGGAAAAAAAACACTGCCACATGATGTCTGTATCGCAATGCATTGTGGGCAATTAAATCTGTTTAGTCTGCTGATGTCTGCACCCCAAGTGGACTCTCTGGAAGTCTGCAGAAAGTCCGCTTTAGGCCCCTTGTGGACTGGAGGATGGTGGATTTGGACAGCCCTAGGTACTCCCAGACTTATGTCAATGTCAGCTTTATTTATATAGCACATTTAAAACAGCCACCGGCCACCCAAAGTGCTTTACAGTTAAAATAAGCAAAAACAACAACACACAAGAAACATATATACAGTGAAATATAACAAAGATAAAAGACCCAATAGAGGTGACTGTACTCAACCAAAGGCCAAGGTGAACAAGTGAGTTATAAGCAGTGATTTAAAAGTGGAGAGGCTATTCACAGTCCGCACAGTCAACGGTAATGCGTTCCACAGAGTGGGAGCTGCGACTGCAAAGGCTCGATGTCCTCTAGTTTTTAAGAGTGATCAAGGAACATCCAAGACCATCTGATTTGCTGATCTGAGGGCTCTGGAGGGCTGATGCAACTCATCAAGGTTGGATAGGTATTCCGGAGCCAGCCCATTCAGAGACTTAAAAACAAATAAAAGAATCTTAAAATCAATCCTGTACCTAACCGGAAGCCAGTGAAGTGAAGAGAGCACCGGAATTATGTGCTCGTGTTTCTTTGTCCCAGTTACAAGACGAGCTGCTGCATTTTGAACAAGCTGCAGGCAGTTAAGCTCTGACTGCTCAATGCCGACGTACAGGGAGTTGCAATAATCTAAGTGAGAGGTAATAAAAGCATGGATAACTTTTTCGAGGTCTTTCTGGCTTAGATAGGGTTTAACTTTGGCTAAAAGCCTCAGCTGAAAAAAGCTGGACTTGGAGCTGACCTGTTTGTCTAGCTTAAAAGCACCATCAATAATCACACCAAGATTCCTAGCGTGGGATCCCATGTAAGGTGCTAGTGGGCCCAGGGAGCTGGCAAGGGCCTGAACCAGATCAGGGCGACCGAACAGGACAACCAAATTTTAAGAAGTTTAAGTCCATCCATGTTTCAGTGTCACTCACGCAGTTTAGCATGGCCTGAAGGGAATCTTTGGAAGGAATATTTAACGGCAAATACGCCTGCACGTCATCAGCAAAGCAATGAAAGAGAATACCATGCTTCCTAAATATTTACCCCAGGGGTAGCATATAAAGGGAGAACAATAGAGGGCCCAGAACTGACCCCTGGGGGACCCCGCAGGTCAGAGGGGCCACTGAGGGGAAAAACTGCCCCATAAGAACAGAAAAGGATCTGTCCGAGAGGTACGATTTAAACCAACTTAAAACAGTGCCTTTTATACTACACAGTGCTCTTGGCGTGACAGGAGAATTGTGTGATCCACTGTGTCAAACGCTGCTGTCAGGTCAAGAAGAATTAAAATGACACAGTTACCAGAATCAAGGTTTAACAAAAGATCATTAAAAACTTTTAAAAGAGCAGCTTATGAATTTATACTCCTGCGTTGAAATGACGCCATACCTACGCCGTAGGGTCTCCATCGACAAAGAGCCTACGCTGTACCCTGTGCCGTAGCCTGACGTGCACCTCCCCAGAAATGTAAGTACACATCACAGTGACGCAGACCTCCTGTCTATGTTTGTAAGCTGAAACCATTTCCCTCAGTGGAAACAAAGCTTTTATTTACTTTAATTTCACAGATAAGAAACAATAAATTATGAAGACTTTAAAGCCTCCATAAAAATAGCATTGTAAGTCTTGTGTGTGATTTATCCTGGCTTCATAAGAGTAGAGGAAATCTCCGCCTGTCTCCAGGCTAATTGATACAATGTAAAATGCCATAGGCTGGTGCTAATAACATTAGCATGTTATATTTGTTTGGAAAACGTGTTTAGTATAAGACAGTTGTTTCGCTGGTGAACCTTGTGAGCTGTAATGGAGCCGAATGTTACCTTTGTTAAATGTTGCTGTTGTCCCTGGCTTCATCTGAGTAGACAGACGTCCACTACCCGCTAGGCTAATTTATACAATGTAAAATGCCATAGGCTTGTGCTAAAAACATTAGCATATTGTATTTGTCACTGGGAACGCACCCACAAAGTCCACGAGTCTGCAAGTGTGGTGAAGTCTGAACATTTGGATTTTGGATTTTTGGAGCCAGAAGTGACCATGTTAATTAATGGTTTACAGTTGGATGTTGATGTTAATACATACTATAACACTGGTATTGAAGAAGGAGAGATTTGTCATTTCAGCAAGGTTTTGTCGTTAAATAAAGTTTTTAAAACATCTAAGTGAAAAAGTGCTTTCCTGAGAAAAGGAAGACAGTAAAACAGAAGTGAGACAATTAAGAGAAAGCAGAAAACAACTTAAATAAAGCCCTTGAAAGTCATTAAAAGTCAATAAAACCGGAGGCACAAACAGCAGAAAACAAAACCAGAGCATTAAAAAAATCGCACCGGGAAACTGTTTCCTCATAAAAGCAAATTCAAAACATGGATTAAAGAGACGGCACAGAGCTCCACTGTCGCCTGGCTGCACAGTTTTCCTGCAGCTCCCAACAGTTTCACCACACACCCATCATCTCATATTTCTTCGACAAAGCAGCAGAGGAAAAAAGCCCCAATTGATTTTGCTTTCCATGAAACACAATAGACGGTGAACTGGGCCATGTGAGTCCGCAGCCTAAAGCCTCGGAGGCTTGTGGGATTTTGAACATAGGACTCCCGCCAACGCCACAAAGACCTGGCTTAGTTCACACAATAGCACACGTAACCCGGCTATATTTAAGACCAGCAGGCCAGGTTTCGAGCACACACGCCCCACACTGTCTCTCTGCAGGCAGCATCAGTCTGGTGATTTTTGAGGCATGTGAAAGCAGGTCACACCTAAATATAAAACCACTCTGTGTTGCTGGTGCAGAGTGACCGGTCAGTGTGAGCCGTCAACACACAGGTGAGAGTTTTTCATTTCATCTGCAGCTATTTGACTTTAAAGTTCTGATTGTGGAGGTGAGTGAATTCGTCCACAGGGGATCATGCATGAAAAGTTTTGATGTTTCCAAAGGGGGTGGACACAATAACACGAACACCTACAGGTCTGGAATCTACACTACGTGTTTTTTTTATTTTGCACTGGCATGTCATTTTTGTTTAATTGTTGGGTTTTAAGTGAATGGGGATCCTGAAATAGGCAATCACAGTTAAAGTTTAGAATAAGCTAACTCTACTGGGTAATGCTTTATTTTACAAGTCTGTAATTTCATGATATTTTCCTAGAAAGTTTGCTGGAAAGAAATATTAAATTTGGCACCAAGTGAACAGAAAAATAGGAATATTCTTGAAAAAAAGCTCAAATAAATTTTCATTCTATACTTTTTTATGATTGTAAACTTTATTCTTCATAGATGTTGAATTGTTTGCGAGCCTGTGGACGAGTTCCTCATATGTGCATGCTCAGCTGACCTGATGTGCTCTGGCTAAAAGGTTCTCTAGGGTGCATTAGCAAATAAATGGAATTTATTAATCGAAAGTTTATCAAATTAACGCCTTCCCAGTTCTATTATTAGTACCTCTTTCCAGGAAAGATCCTGGGGAACGATCAGGAGGAGACAGCAGAACTGTAAAATGAAACGTTACCTTCTGTTTTCATTGACACAACGCCAAAAGATGTGTAGGTTCAACTCCAGGGTCAGCTTTTAGGGCAATAATTCATCGGGATGTTGTGTTGGATTGTTGTGTTTCTGTTATTTTGTCCACTCTCTTATATCATCAGGTATTCCAACTGCATGCAGAGAAAATATTTGAGACAAGCAGAAAATATTTTATTAAAATCAACTTGCCAGAACATCTTTGAACTTTGAGATTTTGGACAGTAAAGTAAAAACCTATAAACACAGAGAGCTGTAGAGCATCAAGACTTGAATCGATGGTGTTGTTGCTTGGAGGGAAGTCAGTGTAAACTGAGGGAGGAATTAAGAAACAGTGTTTGGATTTTAAAACTCCACTTTAGGGTTTTTTAAAGCCTCCTTTTGCTCCTAGTTTTGTGGGTTTTTTGGTGGCACATTAACTGTCGGGTTCAGTCTCATGAGGCGTTTTCCGACCAAACAGTTCTGGGGACTCCCTCCATTTTGTGGGTAAAGTATTCTTTTAAAGGCAGAACAACTTTGAATTTGGATGTGAGGATGGAGCGTGGGGTGAATCTGACTGAGTTCTCGAGGACACTATCTGCAGACAGTGGACGTGCACTTAATTATGCATGACTTTAATCCTTCCTAAATTTAAAAGGGTGAGTTATATGAAAATTCACCTCCAGTACAGTTGACATGGACGGCAAAATTATCTATAGAGACCAAAATCATTTTTGTACCAGACTGTAGACATGTTTATTTCTGCTGTAAAGTTGGACATTTTAACTTGGCAGGCTTTTCTCACAGCATTTGTATGTTTTCCTACAAAAATAACACACTTAAATGCTTTTTTTTTTTTTTTTTAACTTTTGAGTCACTTTAAAGGAACACACAAATCCTTGCCATGTTTCTTTTCCTAAACCCAAACGCATAACTTTACGTCCAGATTCCTTTTATTGTCATTTTTATGATGAAACATTAAAACAAAATACTGTTTCACATATAAAATCAGCAAAATTAGTTCTCAGTGCAGTAAAATTATTCGATTAATAAATAGATAGATACATAAATCTAAAATAGTGTGGGGCAAAAGACAAGGTAAGTTCATGTGTGCTACAGTTCAACAGTCTGATCGCTGACGGAGGAAAACTGTTCCTCAGACATGTTGCCCTGCAGCGGATGCTCCTGAACCATCTCCCTGACGGCAGGAGAGAAAAGAAACTGTGGGAGGAATGAGAGGAATCCTTAATTGTGCCCTCTGGCTGTAGACATCCAACAGGGATGACAGCAGCACACCGACGATCTTCTTACGCTAATTACATAACTGTGCGTTAAGGATGTGATGTCATTCGTTGGGCACTGATTTGTAGGTTATCATATGAACTGTTGTGCATGCCTTTTTTGTAAGATATCATACGAACCATTCTATGAGGACAAGTTTAACACAGGGGTCTGTGGGGACTGACTGGCTTCTGGAGCCAGCCTCAAGTGGCCATTTGGGGAACTGCAGTTTTTGGCACTTTCATGACTTCATGTTTTGCAGCCCCAGGGGTTTCCATCTGGGTTGGTATAGAAACGTCACTTCGGTGCAACATATAACAACGACAACAGTCTGCTCCTCCGTCAGTCCATTTGTCTGTGTTTTCTTCCATTTTTTCATTACAAGCTGTTGTTTTTATTTGGTGCTGTCCGTTGTTTACACAGCTAACAGATTTTTAAAAATGGCGGTTGCAAGTGCTGCACTGGCTCATGTGTTCGACTAATCAAGGTGGACTTAAATCACTTAAGGTTCATCTGGTGCTGACAGAGTCCATCCATCCATTTTCATCCGCTTATCCGGGGCTTGGTTGTGGGCGCAGCAGGCTGAGCACAGCACCCCAGACGTTCCTCTTCCCGGCAACACTTTCCAGCGCCTCCTGGAGGACCCTGAGGTGTTCCCAGACCAGATGAGATATGTAATCCCTCCAGTGTGTTCTGGGTCTGCCCAGGGGCCTCCTACCAGTGGGACGTGCCCAGAACACCTCAAACGGGAGGTGCCCAGTAGGATCCTGATCAGATGCCTGAAACACCTCAACCTCACTAGTGTAGAGAGTATCAACACTAAAATAGGAGCTAAAAAAGTCCCTCAAAACAGTGCTCTAAAAACTACAATCATTCCTTGTTCTTATGGAGCAGACTTTATAAAAAAAGGGGGGTTCTGAGCACTATGAAAAGGTTTTACCATCCTGAAAATACCTGGTGTTAGCAGCTACAGCGGGTGGCTAATTTCATCGAACAAGCTCTGGTAAATTCACTGCACACTACCTGCCAAGATCTGAGTTATTATAAGTACTGTACAGGGGATTTTTAGTTGATGTGTTCAAAAATGCAACATCACCAGTTTGGTATCAATCAGTGTGTGTCCTCCCTGCAGAGTGATGAACACTTATGAAGAATACGGTGAAGAGGAGCTCACTGACTACATCATCCAGCTCAGTATTCAAGACTCCTGCCAAGATGCCTTTCTGAAATCTGCAGCAAGGTATCAGAGCCACATCCAATCCTCACCCTCCTCCCTAAAACACATTTGCTTATTTAAACAAACCCAGCTGACTGCCCTGTGCTCCCTCTGCTCCTGGCTGTTAGTTTAGAAGAAACGACGGATGAAAATTTGAGAGTCCTGGCTGCCATCGAACAAGGTGGGTTAAACCGCATGCAGGAAATACCTTCATGATCACACACACTGTTGTTTTTGTGTCAGGTCTGTTGGCTCTCCTCTGTGGCCGACAGCCAAAGTCACACGGCCAGCAGCTGTAGGCGAGGATCGCCAGGCATCAGGAGGTTGGCAGATGGACAGAGAGAGGGGGGGATAAACAAACAGAGAGGTAGGAGAGGGATGAAGTTGGACAGGAAATGTGAAGGACCAGAAACTGTTGATTTGCAGAAAAGGAGAAAAGTACAGAAAACTTTTAGCTCCAGTGAGTCCTGGATGTTTCTGAGAGTTTTTTTTAAAAATATTGCCTTTTTTCTTTTGCTGAAATCCCGGGGCTGTTGCCTTGTTGCCGTGGTAACCAGGTGAGGTCTTGGTGCTCAGGGGGATGCTGAGGCACACCTTCGCCTTCAGGGAGTTGGACAGTCGCGGCTGGCTTCCCCTTCATCGAGCCGCCTCCCAGCCAGTCCCTGAGATCCTGCAGACCGTACTGACATGTGAGTACATTTGTTCAGTGGAAGGAGGTCAGTTCATAGCAACATTGTTTTAATTAATGCAGTAACACAAGTCCAGCACCTGAGGGAGCACCTGAGGCCATTTTGTCAGTAATGTGCGCAGGTGTGACAACTTTAACTGTACCTGAGGCTGCAAGAGGAAAAAGAGGTCTCGGATTCGTGGTATGACCACTTCCTTCCTCCTAGTAATATTTACTAGAATAACGACTTATCCTTATAGGTGCAAAACAGTTTCTGTCATAATAAACTGCATTTATATTTAAATACAGGTGCATCTTAACAAATAAGAATATCATAAAAAAAAAAGGAAAATAAGTTAAATATTTCTTGTCAGTTATTTCAGAAAGTGAAACTGTGTATATTCTGGACTCACACAGTCCTGAGAAGAGCTCTAATCAAAGAGCCTTTAATCTGTGAGTCTGGTTCAGTTCACACGACCACAATCAAGACTGCTGATTTAACAGTTGTCCAGGAGACACTCACTGACACCCGCTGCAAGGAGCGTAACCCACAGGAGGTCACTGCTGACAGGGTCAGCTGTTCACAGTGATCTCAGCTGTGCAACGTCCTCTTTTTAGATGAAAGTAAATTTTGCATTTCATTTAGACATCAGGGTCCCAGAGTCTGGAGTAAGAGCGGAGAGTCACAGAATCCAAGTTGTTTTAAGTCCAGTGATGATTTGGGGCGCCATGTCATCTGCCCGTGTTGGTCCACTGTGTTTTATCAAGTCCAAAATGAACACGGCCCTCTCCCAGGAGATTTTAGAGCACTTCAGGTTTCTGTCTGCTTTATGGAGATACTGATTTCATTTTCCAGCAGGATGTGGCACCTGCCCATAGTGACAAAACCACTCATAACTGGTTTGCAGACCATGGTGCTACTGGGCTCGAGTTTGAGCAATGAAAAAAATTAAAACAAAAAAGGCTTGAAATAGTTCACTTCATGTGTAATGAATCTAAAATATACAAAAGTCCATAACTGATCAAAATCACCTGAACAGTAGAGTCACTTCACAGCTCACACTGTCGACCCTGAGATAACTTTTCCAATGCAGCTAACTTGGTGTCAGTTGTAATAATAGACTGTGAGTGCCCTCATATGACTCGTCTACTGTATTGTCATCCAATGTACACTTCATACCGAAGATGCTTGCGTCTTTGGGGTTGGCACGGTGACGCAGTGGTTAGCATTGTCACCTCACAGCAAGAGGGTACCTGGTTTGAACCCGGGGTGGGGGGGGGCCCTCTCAGTGGAGTTTGCATCTCCTCATTATCAGCATGGGTTTCCTCCAGGTGCTCTGACATGTTCTCCCTGTGTCAGCGTGGGTTTCCTCCAGGTGCTCTGACATATTCTCCCCATGTCAGCGTGGGTTTCCTCCAGGCGCTCCGACATGTTCTCCCTGTGTCAGCATGGGTTTCCTCCAGGTGCTCTGACATGTTCTCCCCGTGTCAGTGTGGGTTTCCTCCAGGTGCTCCCACATGTTCTCCCTGTGTCAGTGTGGGTTTCCTCCAGGTGCTCTGACATGTTCTCCCCATGTCAGCGTGGGTTTCCTCCAGGTGCTCTGACATATTCTCCCTCTGTCAGTGTGGGTTTCCTCCAGGCGATCCGAAATGTTCTCCCCATGTCAGCGTGGGTTTCCTCCAGGTGCTCTGACATGTTCTCCCTGTGTCAGCGTGGGTTTCCTCCAGGTGCTCCGACATGTTCTTCCCATGTCAGCGTGGGTTTCCTCCAGGTGCTCTGACATGTTCTCCCTGTGTCAGCGTGGGTTTCCTCCAGGTGCTC